CATGAGTGGAAGTGTTTTGGAAGTGGTAAATTCTTTCAAGTACCTCGGCATAATTGTGGACAGTGAATTGAAATGGAACTATCACATTGATCATGTCTTATCAAAATTGAAACGAACACTTGCAGTAATGCGCCAGGTCCAACCATTCGTAAATCAGGCTGCTCTTGTCACTTTATATAATTCAATTTTCTTACCACATTTAACTTATGCATGCACAGTATGGGATGGAGCGATTTTGGTGCAGTACGACAAGCTGCAAAGAATCCAAAACAGGGTGGGAAAACTTATTCTGAAAAGCTCCATATAGAACACCATCAGCAGAAATCCTATCGCGCCTTGGTTGGAAGACTGTGAAGACTATACATCAACAACAAAAAGCTCTGCTGGTGTATAAGGCCTTGAGAAATGCATTACCACCATACATGAGACGAGTCTTCAGCCTGAGAAGGGATGAAGTGGCACGGAATACCAGATCAGCTTCTACTGACTGTCTCATCCCTCCGAGGCCGCACTTGGAAGCTTACAGAAGAAGCTTGGCTTACTCCGGCTCAGTGGTATGGAATAACATCCAGCCCCACATTAGGGCAGCACCATCCATCCATACCTTCAAGTCACTTATGGAACAGACATAACTGGGACTCACCATGGACTTGAATTGGCTACGAACCTAATGATTTATTTGTGAACTTATTTACTTACTTATTGTATTGATTTAATTACTTATTATTTATGTTTGTATTGATTTGGTTCTTATCCCTCCCCTCAACTTCGACCTTGTTGAAAAGCGGCCTTGCGCCGAACAAGCATTCGAAGGAAAATAAAGGCTTTGACTTGACTTGACTTGACCCAACATCACTCAATTTTTTTGCCACTGAAATGTAAAACAGAGACATTTGCATCAGGCCATTATGAGTTAGAGACTCAATGTGCTAAACCGTTTTTTCCAGTTAGTTAGTGACTGGGTATATAAGAGCTAATCAGTCATACCAAGCCAGTTCCAAAGTTGATGTCAAAGTGAACAGAAGATATGGCAGATGATGAGCAGCAGAAAGCAGAATTGATATGAATGTATTGATAGAAGCACAATTTGATATCTGAAATATGAAGCAATTTAATTAACTAAATCTATAGTAATTGTGAATGTAGGCTTACCTTATAATATGATAAATTTGAAACTTTAGGTGTTCAGTCTACTAGTATTTTTAAAAAAAATTGTTCCTTGCTAGAATTGGAGAATATCCTGGTCTAACTCAAAGAATTCCCATTTGTCCTATAAAAGATTAGAATTCCAATGTCTG